GACAAGCAGACTAAGGACATGGATTACTGGAACCATGTCCTGTGGTCTGATGAGACCAAGATAAACGTATTTGGTTCAGATGGTGTCAAGTGTCTGTGGCGGCAACCAGGTGAGGAGTACAAAGACAAGTGTGTCTTACCTGCATGAGTGCTGCCGGCACTGGGTGTCATGAGTTCAGGAATAATGGTGGGCGCACAAAATATTGACACTTTGGGCCCAATTTGGACATTTTCACTTAGGGGTGTACTCACTTTTGTGGCCAGCGGTTTAGACGGGGGATTTTGAGGGGACAGCAAATTTACACTGTTATACAAGCTGTACACTCACTACTTTACATTGTAGCAAAGTGTAATTTCTTCAGTGTTGTCACATAAAAAGATATAATAAAATATTTACAAAAATGTGAGGGGTGTACTCACTTCTGTGAGATACTGTACATACATACATATATACATACATACATACTTATGATTAAAGGAATAGTTCACCCAAAATGAAAATTTGCTTACATTTTGGCCACCCAAAATGTTTCTTCAGATTTGTAGAAATTTAGCATAAAATCACTTGCTCGCCAATGGATTCTCTGCAGTGAATGGGAGCCATCAGAATAAGAGTCCAAACAGCTGATAAAAACATCACAATAATCCACATGACTCTAGTTAATAATGGCTTTTGAAGTGAAAAGCTGTGTGTTTGTAATAAACAAATCCATCTTTAAGACGTTTAAAGTTTAACCATCACTTTTGACCAAAATACCAGTCTATAATCACATTTCCTTGAGTGAGTTCTTCCCTGTTCTCTCACATCAAAATCCACCGACATATTTGTTCAAAACTGTTTTGGACTGTTTTTTGCTTGTAAACAGTGCTTGATCTGAGCATATTTCTTTCCTGATTCAGACAAGACGACTTTTTAGCCAGAAGGTTCAACAGGGCTCAACGCTAAAGATTTTTTCTACTGGACCGGTCGGGCCAGTGGTTCAAATTATGACTTGCCCTGCCAACATTTTCACTGGCCCTGCCGCAAAAAAAAATAAAATGGTTGCCTTTATCATTGTTTTTGATCTATGTTATCTTTTATTCTAATAAATAAGCTTATATGACACCAATATTTTAGATACCAATTAAATTTTCCAATTCTCGATTTCAATTTCGATACAACAGCAAAAACTGCCTGACAAGTATAAAGTTCAATCATTATTAAAGATAAGTGAACAGTAAGTAAATAAGAACAAATGAACAAATTACAAGCAACAACACAACTAAATATATAGAACAAAGATACAAATGAAATGATGCTTTAGGTTTTTTATGTTTGTAGGTGTTCAGGTACAGAAATCGAATAATCACATCTAAAATAACATTGCATATTCTTCACTGTGTTGCACCTTGATTTTCATAGCCATTTGAAATTGGTAACCACCATCATGAATCGATCCAAAAAAAAAAAGATTATACACACTTGTAGCATGTGCAATGTTTGATTTAAATTAAATTCAAAATTTGAAGCAAAAACAGAATAGCCTGACTTTAGCTTTGTGAAATTATGCTACATAAAACATCTGCACGAGACAGAAACAGCAGAAGCTCTGAATGAGACGCAGATTCACTCTCTGCCAGCAGGTGGCACTTATGGAACACCAGCATTTACTTGGTTACCGCTGTACATACACAAAGCAGCAATGTGCATATTAGCACTACTTTAAATGCATTATACCCAGCCAAGATGAAAAGAAAACGCCATGTAAACTTTTCTGAAAACAGTCAGTTCCCCTCAGAAACACATCCATATAAAATTCAATATTTAGGATTTTCTTCCTATATTTCGCGCATCGTGAACGGAGCTGCTATGCCTGCAACAGTATTTTCTCCTCGTTGCGTCCATCTTCAGCGTCTCTGACCTCTGTTAACGGCTGTTTAAAGACCAAATTTATTATAATATTAAAGTAATATTTCCACACAAATGACATTTTGAAAAAAATATTGCGATGCAGTCTGTGTGCAAGCACGGAACAGATATTGTGAAATAAAAAAAATGCCCGGTCGATCGGTGCATCTCTACTTCACTGTATAAATTAAATATAGATTAATCATTGTTAAAGCTATAAAGTTACTCACCAAGACGGGTATTTTGACACATTTTTGTATGTAGGCCTATTTGTCCGTTCAAACGCAAAAAAGACGCGGAAAGAAACTCAACTCGGGGCTCGGGCGTTAGAGACGCAGCTGTCTGTGCGCGCGCTGTGTTCTGTGTGTACAGCGCGCGCACAGACAGCTGTAGACAGACAGTAGCTACTGAATGGAGTTCTGTCAGGACCACTATCATCAAAGATAACTTACAATTAGCATACATTTTTAGGTTGGGGGTATTGTTCTGTTCTGGGCAACACTCCCTGCCCATCCATGCAGCCTAGCATGGATAGGAGCAGGGAGAGCATAAATACCCCCCCCTAGGGTAAACTGAACAGAACCAACATTAATGATTAATGTAGCAGATATCATCAATGTTCTAAGTGATTATTTTATATATGAACATAATTCAGTGGTCTGACTCAAAAAGAAATATCCAATGCCAAGTCCTGACTGGACGAGAGGAGGAGTTGGGGATGGAGGTGGGTGATTAGCTCTTGAGCAAAGCGATAGCTGCTGAATAATGACTGAAAGGACCTTATAAAGGGAATTATGACTGGTGTCATATTCCTATAAGAAGACGTGGATCAGCTGAGTGTCAGCTGATGCGAGCTTGACTAAAGTGACCTGCCAGAACTAACGCTACGCTCCATTTGTCTTTAACGCCTTGCTGAAATGCTTTTAAATTGCTTGAATTTTTTGTTCTTTTAATTAGCAAGGCTTAAAAACAGATGCAAATGATAAACTTTTTGTGACGACGCGGCAGTGGCCCGATCGGGCGAGTGACAAATCCGTCAACTGTCCTGTCTTTTGGGTAGTCCTTATTGTTGAGCCCTGTTCAAGGTTCAAGGTTTCTTTATACCCGAAGGTAAATTTGTTGTGCAGACAGGTAATTCGGCAATCCATACTTAAAACAATTCATAGAAACATTAACACAGGCTACTACATTATTTTAAAATTTTTAAAAGTCAAGAAAATGTATCTTCACACACCCCCACCCCCAAAAGCATAATAAATAATATCATCTGCTGCTATTTTTATTTATTAATTCTATCGCTGCAGGTACACAAATATTCCTATATCGTTAAGAATGGCTTGACGTTAGAAACAACTTAATGATGGATTTGTTTATTACAAACACAGAGTTTTTTGCTTCACAAGACGTTACATTGATGGACTGGAGTCATGTGGATAACGTGGATTATTGTGATGTTTATCAGCTGTTTGGACTCTCATTCTGACGGCACCCATTCACTGCAGAGGATCAATTGGTGAGCAAGTGATGTAATGCTACATTTCTCCAAATCTATTCCGATGAAGAAACAACTCATCTACATCTTGAATGGCCTGAGGGTGAGTAAATTTTTTCATTTTTGGGTGAACTATTCCTTTAAGACTGTAAACACAACTCACCGCATGTGTGGCACAGTTAGCAGCATGCTCATATTCTGTTGGCTGATATCTCTTATTAGATGGTACACGACTGTTCATAAATCTAAAAAATAATAATAATAATAAATAAAGTGTTAGAAAATAAGGGATGAAGTGAAGCTAAGCAATTCATAACTTAGTATTACCTACCTAAAGCATACTTAAAAGTACATAGTGTTGTTTAACAAAGTCAGTTCTTTTAAACTGGTCACTTCTATAAAAAATAAAAAATAAATTAATAAACAATTCTGTAACTCAACATATAGGCCTATTGTTACTGTTACTCATGTCACCACACATTTCACTTACTCCGACATGATATACAGATGCAACTGATGCATGAAAATGAAAATCTGCTTTTTCCAATAAAATTATAGAAAACTTTGATTTGAAAAGATATGATTTTTTTGTTTTTTTATTAAGTACATGCATTATTGCATTGTTATTATATGTATTGTTTTATTGTAATTGATAATGAGTTAGTCACCACGTATGTCAAATGATCATGTGACTGATAATAACTTTTGCAGTTGGCAGGCAGTGGCTGGTAACCATTGAGAACCACAGCAGAAGAGTCTTTCATCCTTACACACCAGAGCCATTGAGAGTGCTGATGTCACGGTTGTCATGGAAACATGAGACTGGTACAGAAAAGGAATGAGGCTGTGTGTGGTTTCTTTTTTTCTTCCTCCCTTGTACCACAAAAGTGACACTTTGAATTCAAAACCATAGTTTACGTCATCTTTCTGCCAAGAAACTCCAGAAGAATAAACAATGTTCTTAGAAATGTGATGTAGAGATGGACATTATGTGCCAATTCAGTAATGTAGTACAACTAACTGCACTTTAACTAGGATGAATATTACATAATGTTTCTAAATGTCCGTCACACGTTCATGTTTAGAGGGGTTGAAAAAGAGATTTATGGAGAAGCTATTTGCCAGAACAATAAAAAGAGTAACAGCAGTTGTGAGACCACACAGCAACATTACAATGTTTAACAGTAGGCTATAGACTGAAATCTGCAATTAGGTCAAACAAAATTGATCTGACTTGCATGGGTGTGATTCTTAATGACCACATCTAGTTCAACACATATAACCCATATCTGTCCTAATTTCCATTGTTAATAACCCAGAGAACATTGCCTAAATTTGTTATTGTATTAATTATGGTCACTGGCCCGTTAATAATCTTTTAGAGATGTTGGCCTAATATTTTGTTTTAAACAGTGATGTAACTATAAAATATTTGTTAGACCTATATATATATATATATATACACACACAGCTACCGTTGTTGTTTTTTTTATTCCTTCTAGTAGCCTGCCTAGACAGACATTTCAATTAATTGTCCGTACTCGTACCCGTTACTAAATCCCTGAGTTTGATCTTATATGCTTCCGGTGAACGTTTACGGTAGAATTTCAAGTCACGGCTGTTCGCTAAGCATCAAAACACCATATTTTCTACCACTCCCTCAAACATCAGTCAATCAGCACGCAAACCACTTCAGGGATCATCGCGGATTGTTGTGTGTGAATGATCACTCATTTATAGGAAATTACCATCATATAACAGCATTCCGTGCCTTTCAATACGTGTCGATTACACGTATTAAGTTCAGCGATAAAGATAAAAAAAAATTTCCGTGCATGAAACGTTTAGCTTTTCTGTGGCGCGTGGGTGTCGCATCACAAAAGACAGCTCTAGGGAAAATAAACGACACCTCGGACAATAAGCTTACTCGCTACGTACAGAACTATCGCTAACTGAATACATTTACACAATCACCGACGGCGGCACGTTTACTCACCTTACAAGTTTCATTTAAACGCGTAAATCAACAGTTGCGCGAGTCTAGATGAAAACGTCTTCCATTTGATTCAGAGCTTATACTTAGAGCTCGTCTTTCAGACACACGCGAATCTATGAAAACTCGCTCTGAAATATCATTCGGGTGATGAACTACACAACGAAGCGAGCATGAGCAATAATCCGGAAATAGCATGTAACGGTCTCCACAACCCGGTCTTCCTGCAGTCAGAAACGAGTGGATCCGTGTAGACTGGTGGGTTTATACAAGGCATTGTCTATTAGCTCAGCGGTCCACACTCAATACTGGACGTATGCCATATGTTCAAGCATTTGCTAGCAAACTAAGGTTAAGCATGTTTTTGCATATCAAGTCAATTGATCAATTGAAGTTAAACCACCACAATTACACTGATTAATGAAGTGTAGCACCACTCCAGTATGTCAAATAATAAGTGACCTGATAGCTATACATCACAAGTTACGGTTTCACACTTTTATTGAAAAAGACATTCATCCAAACATCTAAATAGCAACTCATTCAGAACTCTAACACCATTTAAAGTTTCAAAGTTACATTTGCACATTAGCATCCATGCAGAAGCCGGAGATCATATTCCAAAATGTATACCACCAAAGGGACTTCTGTCTTCTTACATCTGCAAATAAAGACCAAGATGTAAAAGGTGCACCAAATAAATGCATACATTGGATTGGCTGTACAGTCTTAACCAGTTATGAGATGCACTTTAGTATGGTGTTCAGCACAGCTCAGGGAGAGAGTTTACAATCAGGCCCATTAACCATGGATCAGCTTAGCAAACAGTTTCTCATCACTGCAGTGCACACCTGTTCTACTACAAATGTAATTCAATACTACAACCTTCCTCTGAGGAGTCACTGTTAGTCTTTCATACATATGGGATTATCAGATTGAAAGGAGTCATAAAATTTTAAATGGAGAAGAAAATGAAGGGTCACCTCTTAGGAGGCCACCACATTTTTGCAGTTGGGAACTTCATTCTTACCATCGCTGAAATCTGTTAGAAACAAGCAACATTAGTAACAAGTTTCATACATTAAATGCCACAAAAGTCAGTTCCCACACTTTGACCAACTTATTTACATTTCTGTTGTAGCCATGTGCTCATCTAATTAGACTACACACCAGAGCCATTGAGAGTGCTGATGTCACGGTTGTCATGGAAACATGAGACTGGTACAGAAAAGGAATGAGGCTGTGTGTGGTTTCTTTTTTTCTTCCTCCCTTGTACCACAAAAGTGACACTTTGAATTCAAAACCATAGTTTACGTCATCTTTCTGCCAAGAAACTCCAGAAGAATAAACAATGTTCTTAGAAATGTGATGTAGAGATGGACATTATGTGCCAATTCAGTAATGCAGTACAACTAACTGCACTTTAACTAGGATGAATATTACATAATGTTTCTAAATGTCCGTCACACGTTCATGTTTAGAGGGGTTGAAAAAGAGATTTATGGAGAAGCTATTTGCCAGAACAATAAAAAGAGTAACAGCAGTTGTGTGACCACACAGCAACATTACAATGTTTAACAGTAGGCTATAGACTGAAATCTGCAATTAGGTCAAACAAAATTGATCTGACTTGCATGGGTGTGATTCTTAATGACCACATCTAGTTCAACACATATAACCCATATCTGTCCTAATTTCCATTGTTAATAACCCAGAGAACATTGCCTAAATTTGTTATTGTATTAATTATGGTCACTGGCCCGTTAATAATCTTTTAGAGATGTTGGCCTAATATTTTGTTTTAAACAGTGATGTAACTATAAAATATTTGTTAGACCTATATATATATATATATATACACACACAGCTACCGTTGTTGTTTTTTTTATTCCTTCTAGTAGCCTGCCTAGACAGACATTTCAATTAATTGTCCGTACTCGTACCCGTTACTAAATCCCTGAGTTTGATCTTATATGCTTCCGGTGAACGTTTACGGTAGAATTTCAAGTCACGGCTGTTCGCTAAGCATCAAAACACCATATTTTCTACCACTCCCTCAAACATCAGTCAATCAGCACGCAAACCACTTCAGGGATCATCGCGGATTGTTGTGTGTGAATGATCACTCATTTATAGGAAATTACCATCATATAACAGCATTCCGTGCCTTTCAATACGTGTCGATTACACGTATTAAGTTCAGCGATAAAGATAAAAAAAAATTTCCGTGCATGAAACGTTTAGCTTTTCTGTGGCGCGTGGGTGTCGCATCACAAAATACAGCTCTAGGGAAAATAAACGACACCTCGGACAATAAGCTTACTCGCTACGTACAGAACTATCGCTAACTGAATACATTTACACAATCACCGACGGCGGCACGTTTACTCACCTTACAAGTTTCATTTAAACGCGTAAATCAACAGTTGCGCGAGTCTAGATGAAAACGTCTTCCATTTGATTCAGAGCTTATACTTAGAGCTCGTCTTTCAGACACACGCGAATCTATGAAAACTCGCTCTGAAATATCATTCGGGTGATGAACTACACAACGAAGCGAGCATGAGCAATAATCCGGAAATAGCATGTAACGGTCTCCACAACCCGGTCTTCCTGCAGTCAGAAACGAGTGGATCCGTGTAGACTGGTGGGTTTATACAAGGCATTGTCTATTAGCTCAGCGGTCCACACTCAATACTGGACGTATGCCATATGTTCAAGCATTTGCTAGCAAACTAAGGTTAAGCATGTTTTTGCATATCAAGTCAATTGATCAATTGAAGTTAAACCACCACAATTACACTGATTAATGAAGTGTAGCACCACTCCAGTATGTCAAATAATAAGTGACCTGATAGCTATACATCACAAGTTACGGTTTCACACTTTTATTGAAAAAGACATTCATCCAAACATCTAAATAGCAACTCATTCAGAACTCTAACACCATTTAAAGTTTCAAAGTTACATTTGCACATTAGCATCCATGCAGAAGCCGGAGATCATATTCCAAAATGTATACCACCAAAGGGACTTCTGTCTTCTTACATCTGCAAATAAAGACCAAGATGTAAAAGGTGCACCAAATAAATGCATACATTGGATTGGCTGTACAGTCTTAACCAGTTATGAGATGCACTTTAGTATGGTGTTCAGCACAGCTCAGGGAGAGAGTTTACAATCAGGCCCATTAACCATGGATCAGCTTAGCAAACAGTTTCTCATCACTGCAGTGCACACCTGTTCTACTACAAATGTAATTCAATACTACAACCTTCCTCTGAGGAGTCACTGTTAGTCTTTCATACATATGGGATTATCAGATTGAAAGGAGTCATAAAATTTTAAATGGAGAAGAAAATGAAGGGTCACCTCTTAGGAGGCCACCACATTTTTGCAGTTGGGAACTTCATTCTTACCATCTCTGAAATCTGTTAGAAACAAGCAACATTAGTAACAAGTTTCATACATTAAATGCCACAAAAGTCAGTTCCCACTTTGACCAACTTATTTACATTTCTGTTGTAGCCATGTGCTCGTCTAATTAGACCTTATACTGAAGGGGGGCTTACTCACATTTGTACATCAGATGGTAATATTCAAAGTATAGAAGCATTAGTATATTTTTTTTAAATGCACTTTAAGACATAAACAATGGGTCTGGCCCTGAACTAGGCCCTGAACATATAAGACTAAACGAAATTTTCAAGTTTCCTAGGCCTAAAAAAAACAAAAAAAACAAACAAAAAAAAACGTTGTAAGCGTGGAGAACCCGAAATTCACAAAACCTGCATGTATTAAGCAAAAGAGCAAATGGAGAAGAAAATGAAGGGTCACCTCTTAGGAGGCCACCACATTTTTGCAGTTGGGAACTTCATTCTTACCATCTCTGAAATCTGTTAGAAACAAGCAACATTAGTAACAAGTTTCATACATTAAATGCCACAAAAGTCAGTTCCCACACTTTGACCAACTTATTTACATTTCTGTTGTAGCCATGTGCTCATCTAATTAGACCTTATACTGAAGGGGGGCTTACTCACATTTGTACATCAGATGGTAATATTCAAAGTATAGAAGCATTAGTATATTTTTTTTAAATGCACTTTAAGACAAACAATGGGTCTGGCCCTGAACTAGGCCCTGAACATATAAGACTAAACGAAATTTCCAAGTTTCCTAGGCCAAAAAAAAACAAACAAAAAAAACTTTATAAGCGTGGAGAACCCGAAATTCACAAAACCCGCATGTATTAAGCAAAAGAGCCTCAGACTAGATTTTATAATCAGCTGCTGAAACACAGCGTTCATACGAGGTGTCAGAAAAGTATTAGAAGTCATCAGCGGCTCAATATTACTTTCAAACACGCATTGCATAAGCAACTTACAAGAAGACCAGGCAGAGTGTGTTGTCCAGGCTCAATTCACTTACCGCCAACTTAACTCTTCATCGCGTTTACTGCAATTTATAATTGATTCATCAAATGCAGACGTTCAACACGTAGGCTACAAACGCCTATGGAGCAAATCATGCGAAGCCACGTGCTCCAGCACACCCATCATGAGGTAGACGGGAGTCTCTACAAACAAAATATAAAGAAAAGTTCATTATGCGGTTCACGTGTAAACCCAACTCTAAGCCCTCCAACGAAAATCTGACAGGAGATTTAGGAGTTTAATGTAACCACACGCAATAAAGACATCAATTATTACAGTGCTAATCTAAAATCAGTCATCATTGTATTCTCTAGCGATTGTTGAGGTTCTGATGAACCACACCGAAAAAATGACCACTTACACGCCTGCAATCACAAAGCAACTTTCTGAAGAGGACATGTTGCAACGCAATACTGCCAACACACAAAACTTCGCTGAACAAAGAGAGCGAACTAACGTTGTGGCACGGTTTTTATAAGAGTTCTTCTTTGCGACATCCACCAGCGTATCAACGATGTGTTCAAAGCTCATGCATGCCCTCTGCTGTTTGACTTGAGTCTTTGCATAAAATACAGAAATCGAGCCCAAAATAACAAGTACCCAAGAAGGTTACTGTAATTACTACATGTAATTTTTTTAATTAGGATTTTATTCATATTCAGACACAGTTTCTATGTCAGGAATATCTCCATGCAGATGGGGTGAATTCGGAATAGCATGCTAGCATACCTTCTCTTGCCATTTGTTTTATATCAGTGGTCTCCAAACTCGGTCCTGGAGGGCCGGGTCCTGCAGAATTTTGCTCTAAACCTAATTAAACACACCTGGACCAGCCAATTAAGGTCTTACAAGGCATACTAGAAACTTCCAGGCAGGTGTGTTGAGGCGAGTTGGAGCTAAACTCTGCAGGACCGAGTTTGGAGGCCCTTGTTTTATATCTTTATATGGCTTTTTATTCTATAACCTTTTCTATTACAATAGTATTACTGTTAGGAGTGTATTCAGCCTTTTTCTTGGAAATCAGTTTTATTTACCAGATGCTTTTGTAATGTGAAGCAACATGCTGGAACAGCTGGAGCAAATTGGATGCCTCACAAAACAGTCAATCATACAAAAGAATAGATTCATAAGATTATATTCATAATAATAAAATAATGTATTTCCTTGCAGCGAGAGCAGTATAACGCGTTATACTCGCAGCTCAACAGCGGCTGCCTGGATTGAGCGGCCAGCGAGGCATCAGTAAGCAACCAGTCAGTATCACGGTCATTTGACTGCTTTAATTACGATAAAATTATTTAAAACACAAATAATGTAAAAGAACATAATCATATCAACAGATACACAATAATAAATGAATGTAATTCGCCAGAGCTAGAGAGGGAGGAACACAAAATCTGCCAAAAATCAGTGGTTGCTGACAAGGCCAAGAGGGTCTGCAGCCTTGCACTTGCACTCTCAGACTTGCACTCTCAGACTTGCATTCTCAGACACTTGCGCTTCCGCTAGCGACGTCACTTGCAGTCTTTTATTTTTTTATTTTGTTCTATTTATTGATTACTTTTTGTTTGAATCGCTCAACATTTTACAACAGTAGCCAGGTGGTGAAGACAAGAAAAAATAAACTAAATTACAATGTCACTTGCAATCGCCACTTGCACTCTCCGCTACCTGCGACATCACTTGCAATCGACACAAATCGTGCGTGTTGCCAATGGAGACTAAACACTGCAGTGTACTTTTAAAAAAGCTGTAATATCATCCTCATTGTTCCTTGTGAAGGAAAAGAGCAAAAACTTGCAATGTCTCCGTGGGGACATTTTGAAATATAGAAATCTTAAAGACAGTTTTGTGATTTTCCTTTTTCAATTTCCAGATGCTCAAAAGCATTTAGTTAGAGACCAACATTCCCGACCAGTGAAATGTTAAGAATTGGCTGTGGGTTTGTGCTTAAATGAGTCAGAGGCTTTTTTTCAGTTATGCGTGTGAATGTATTTCACTAAGGTTGATCTTTTCGTTTCACTTGTGTTTTTAAGAGGTATTTCAGTTATGCATATGAACGAATTTCACTAAGGTTGATCAATGTTTTCACTACAGTATGTAAGAGTCCCACAGGGTAAATTACAATTTCCATTAAAACCAACACAAATTCCCATTATAGCCAGTAAAACCATTACAGATTCTGTGATGGTTTCCATTTATTCGTTTATTTATTTATTTAACGCAGGGCACTACCTGTTAAAAAGTGACGCCGAGGGATCCTAACCAAGTGTCAATATGTGATGAGTTGGTAGTGAGAATTGTCACAAAACAGAAGGATGCAGACAGGTAAGTTGTATAAAACAGTTTATTGAACAGAGGCATGGAGTTGGACAGGAATGCAGACTGGCGAGTAGAATATCAATATGCAGAATGAATGTAGACTTCGCTTGCAGTAATTGTAATGACTCTTATGCAGCGGAATGGATCCGAAGCAGATGACAGCTGTCAGAAGACAGGTAAGTATCAGGTAAGGAGTCTTTAGTGTTCGTATGGACAAGACCAGACAAGGGAATGCAGGAGAAGTGTCTCTTTATAATGAGTGTAGATGATGAGGTGCAGGTGCAGTGAATCAGAATTCTGGGGAAAGTGAACGAGTGGGTGGAGCGTGCTGATCTGGTGGCCATGGGTTGTAATTGGTCTGTGATGGTTGTGACTAGAGTGACAAGAATGTGTTGAAACATGCCTTGCTGTAGCTAATAAAATAAATATTAAGCAGCACAACTGTTTCTTACATTGATAATAAATCAGCATATTAGAATGATTTCTGAAGGATCATGTGACACTGAAGACTGATGAAAATTCAGCTTTGCGTCACAGAAATAGATTATATTTTAAAGTATAGTAAAATAGAAAACCATTATTTTAAATTGTAATAATATTTTTGATCAAATAAATGCAGGCTTGATGAGCATAAGAGACTTCTTTCAAAAATATAAAAAATAGTAATAATGTTTGGAAATAATGTGTCCAAACATTTGACCGGTTCTATAAGTAAAAATATACAAAATTTAAAATGAAATGTTGTTTAAATAAAAAAGGTTAGGAATCATATTTGTTTCAAGTGCTTTTTATTAAAAATAAAAGGAAATATATGAATCCAACATGAATTATGCCTAGGGCCTCCAATTGACTAGAACCGGCCCTGGGTTCATTCAAAGATTAATTTTGTGAGCTAATCTGCTGAAATAAGATGCACATGCTGGTCAAGATACTTAAATTCTGCTATCTAAATTCTGAATCCTGAATTTAAGTTGACTTTTATGCATTTAGCAGGTGCTTTTATCCAAAGCATCTTACATTAGAGGAATATAAGCAATTTGTCACAGAACCAACAATATTCATAGTGAGCAAAGCCAGGTTTATTAGAAAGCCAGACTGGGAAATGCAGTAATTACTGTATATATGTGATTTTTGTCAGTAGCTTTCAGCATTCTCCAATCTATCATCAGCAAGCTGAACAATCTGTTCAAGTGCCTTTAGTATCAGAACATCAATGTCATCATCTGTGTCAATCTCATCATGGTAGTTCTTCACTGGGAAGATGTTTGTCAATGGCACACCTATAATAGCACTACACAACTCCATCTGGACATGAATGTGAGAAAATCAGACATGGCTATTAGACAAAATCAGCTCAACGTAGGCTATATGTAAAAGTAGGGCTAGGCAATATAGCAAAAAAATGAAATCTAGATTTTTTCAGAACGTTTGACCAATTCTCGATTCAAAAGTCAAAAGTCAATTTGAAAATGTAACTACAGCATGATTCAAGTAACTTTTTCTTTATTAACCCTCTAGTTAAAAAAAAACTTGAAGTTGTCAACATGATGTAAATGTTAAAAAAATTACTTGTTAAATATAGTTCATGCAAAAAAGATGCATGAACTATAATTACATCTTGTACAAACTTGTCTTATACATATTATATGTTCAGAAATAATACAAGGAAAATGATTTAAAAAAAATCTCAAAAGTCAAGGTAATTCAAATTCAAAATGACTGAAGGTATAACACCAGTAGACTATTATTAAGAATGATATATTCTACTTATGGTCCTTCACAGAGCGCCCTATTCACACATCTTTACTAATCATTTATTAATCATTTGTTCATGTTTTTGCAGTAGTCAATCTAAAGTCGAAACTATTCATCATTTGTAAATGTTTATAAACGATTACTAATCATTTAGTATCTTTATGTGCATTGGACTTATGTAACAAGGTTTGTGTAAAGGGTGGCTGGTTAAGTTTAGCTAAACGCTTGCTAAAGACATAACAGATTGTAATTTTGGTGCAAAGAAAAACGTTTTTATTGCCTCAACACTCACATTAGTATACTCTACAGTATATCAGTAAACAGGATATTCCTTGAATCATAAATAAACAGGGGAAAACAAATCATTTTTTAAAAGAAAATACTTGTTCATTTATCGAAACAATATAATATAAACAGATTGAACCGTGTTCTCTTATAATAATCAAATTGACCCCTGTACACTGTTGACCCTTTAACCAAACCTTAAACCTACCTATACCACCAAACCTGTCCCTAACCCGTATCACACCTCAATAGCAGCTAAAGTGTTGTACATTAACACAAACTTTTAATAATTTTATAACATCTGTTAGATGTTCTGTAGATTTTCAATAAGTGCTTGATCATATGGAATTATAAGTTTAATGACATTTGTAAGTATTTTAACTTGCATTAAATAATAATGATTTGTTTGAACATTATCTAATGTTTAATAAGTTTATTAGCAAACATTAACAAGCACATTATCTCATGTTTCTAACTCCTTGAATATATATTAACTAATGATCCATTAAGCATTATAATGTTTGTTAATGATTTATTCATGAAAATTATTATAAAGTGTCTAATTCTAACGTTTGGTAATATTTCAATTCAAAATTGTGATTCCTCGATTTATAAGAAATAAAATAGTGGCAAAACATTAAATTCGAATTAATCGATAAAATTAGGAAAAACGCCCAGCCCTATGTAAAAGTCACAGAAAGTGTCACATGTATGTCTTTGGATGATATCACATACCTTCTCCTTGATCTTCTTGCTAGTGTACATCTTTCTCAGATCTTTTTTGACCAGTGGGCATGCTTCATCTACTTTGGTCATGACAACCACTTGAGTAATCCCTACAGCAAATGCAGAGACAATGTAAAAGTTAAATATTTTTCTCAACAAAATTGAGCAAATTTGTAGCAGCGTTTGTTGAAAGGTACATATGTCTAGGCTACATACTTGATCCACATTATCTGGGCCATGTAAATAATCAACCTGAAATCAAAGTTGAGAGTTGCAACATGCCCTGTTTGCACTTGACATTAAAATGCAACTTGTTGTTTTCTTGCAATTTTATCGCAAAATTAAAACTTGTATTTGATGATGTCCACTTACACAATGTCGCACAAACCCAACCCACTGTCATTTTACCGACTCCTCTCTCCAGTGTAAAGTTATGTATGTGAGCTCATGAATGAAAATCAGAACCATTCAGTTTTACCCATATCACTGATTTTCTGGCGGATGTCCTTCAGCTTGTCAATAAGTTGATCATCTATATAATGGACTATATTTGCGGCAATGTCGTAAACCAGGCAGAAAGACCGGTCGGAGAGGTTAGGGTCACTGTTGTAATGTTGATCCTCATTAGTAAGTACCTTCTCCTTGTTGAACTAAGATTGGAAATTCAGCAAAATATGTAACATCAGACATATTGCACACATGCAAATCTGTTATTTGCTCAGTTAATGTTGTGGTTTATTTCTTTATAACTCTCCTTCACGTGACCAAACACAGCATTGATGATGTCTTCTATTTGCGCCCCAGCCAATGTTTCAGATTCCAAGCCCATGATGTCCTTGAAGACAAAGGGCAAAGTTTTTTTCCCACTTCTGATGGTGAATCCTTTGAGCTACAAATCAAGACACCACATATATATATGAACAGTTTTGAAGAAATCCTCATACAATTAGCCACATGCTTACAACGCTTGTGGGTCAACTGGACATTTCTGGGTCTTTTAGGAAAAAACACAACTATATGTGGCAAATACCTACTTTTTGTGTGAAACTATGACTGTTGCCAGCAGCTGAATTAACTAGCGCTCTAGAGGAGATGCGTCCTTGAAAGGCACTATTGATGGAGTTAATAAAGCTGGACTTTCCTGCTGCAATTTCTCCAGCTACCAGGATCTTGATGTCCTTTACATCTGGATGACTCGGAAAGAAGTTTTCCAACTTTTTTTTCAGGGCTTCTTTCTGTCTGTCAAAACAAAACACAATTATGTGCACTGTGGAACTTAGAACTTATTTAGGTCTTATTTGTTTAAATGTACGTTCCACCATCGTTATAGGTATACGCTTCGTATAGGCATATGCAAATTTTGGAACTTCACTACAGTAAAAATCTACACTTTAGTAAGTTGAAAAAAAAAGAGAATTTATCGTTTATTTGGGCAGACTGTTTCTCTCTACCGAAAACTGAAAAAAACGTACCTTTTTAAATATTTTACATTTTGTGCTAACAACTACATTAGTTAATATTTGTGTTTATTATTAGAGAGTTAGCCTATATTTCATTATATTACCTTAAATGATATGTATGACTTCACTGTCTTTGTGACTTCACTGCACTCGAAGCTCCTGTCACCAAGACAAATTCCTGTGTGTGAAAATTCCTTGGCAATAAAACTCTTTCTGATTCTGACATTGTTCTTAATGTGGCATCTTCACTTACCCTATATAGAACAAAAATTGCTCTGTATTAGTGTCTTTCCTATTAATTTCCTATGGTCTGTAAATTTTGACCACGAATGGTCAAAGTGTTTTTTTTTTTACGACCACTTTTAGGCCTGACATAGCCTACACTGCGATTTCAGCAACGTTTTTGTTAAATATCAACTCTTACTGTATGAGTTAATTGCATGCAATGTCAAGCCAGTGCTTTTTCTCTCACTGTGCCAGCGTGAAAACAGAAATGAAACCATGGTGACATGGCGTGTGATACATGGTTATAAGGCTAGATGGCATAGGCTACAGCAAAAACTACTGGGCATGCGCACATCAATATAGCGTATTTTTTCTCACACTATACAAAAATAATTACTATTTTTGCATTATTGTAAGGGGTACGTGTAGACGTTAATAAAACACAATCTAATAGGTAGAAACTACTACTATACTATCTATTAATAAGCAGCAAATTAGAATTTTATTGAGGAAAAAGTTGTAGTTAATAGTAGTTAGTAGTGAGAATTGGACTTTAAAGGGGTCATATGATGCGATTTCAATTTTTCCTTTCTCTTTGCGCTGCCTCAGCTCACTCTATCCCAGCCTCAGCGCACGCTAAGCCAGAGCTTCGGCTCACGCTAACCCGGCCTCAGCTCACATCCCAGCCTCAGCGCACGCTAAGCCGGGGCTTCCCCTCACGCTAG